TATTTATATATATATGTGTGTGTGTGTGTGTATCAATATATCTGTATATCTATATAGATATATTAATGTATATATATATATATATATACGTAAATATATATATATATATACATGTGTGTGTGTGTTGTGAGTGTATGTGTATGTGTATGTGTGTGTGTGTCTGTACGTATTGGTATTTATATATATATATATATATGTGTGTGTGTGTGTGTGTGTGTGTATATATATATATATATATATACGTATAAGATTCCCATGTATATATATATAGCGTTTAGGATGTCATGATTGATGAAAGAGATACAAATTTGTCTATGATTACACAAATCTGTGTTTTTTTGTGGACTTAGCACACACAACTCTAATCTGAAACTGTGCCTGTTAGGGGTTTAAGAGTATATCATAGAGACGGACACAGATACGTATATATTTGTAGTGACGAGTTTTGTAGTGGGCCGCATACATAGGTACATGTAGATATCTAAATGTGCTTTTTAATATATAGAATCCACAAACGGACACATATACATTCATATATGTAGTCGTGAGGTTTTGTACACATACGTGCTCGCATGCATAAACATCTGTAGTCCCGAGTTTACCTATTAAGCGACATATACGGGTACATATATACATCTAAATGTACATTAAATAGTCAGAAACCACAAACGGACACACACACATGCATATTGGTAGTCACGAAATACAAAGGTACATGTACCTCTACCCCGGGTTAGTGTACTTCCGTACATATTTTGTATATCAATACTTGTATTGTACTGTTAAATACACTTCGGAGTTTTATTCGCAATGTGTGTGTGCCTTGCTCGGCCTGTTCATGCGGAAGTCCTTAGATAGTCTTGAACTCATTTCAAGTGTACAGGCACGCCGGCATTTTGTTATTTTTCATATCACAACAGTAATATAATAGTTACCCAACCCAAACCTCATTCAATATCAGAACACTGTTGTAATCGCTACGGCGCAACAGTATTGTACTTTGTTTTTGTTTTTCTCTCTGAGGTGCATGGTGCTATATTCCCTTAGTTTCGCAAGCACGTATCTAATACACTGAATTACAGTTCCAATTCTAAATTCAATTTCAATTCCGATTGCAATTTGATCTTCCGCCCCAATTGTGCCCGGACTTTGAGCTTAGCACCAGATCAAGTCACACTATGATTTGGCGTTTACTTATGCTATCAATATACCCTTCCTTTCACTCACAAACTGGCTCCATATAAATCATATCATGACGTTCACTAATGATAGCCTGATGTATCTTTTTCATTCACAAAACAAGCTCTTTATATACATTATGTCAACCACTGATGATCCCAAACGGGTTTTTTTATTATTATTTTTTTACGTGCAGTGGCACTGGTAAGTCCAGTCTGTTGGTACGATTTACCGATGGTGTGTTCGATGAAGATCTAGGGCCGACTGTGGGGGTCGACTTCAAGGTCAAGATGCTGGAAGTGGGAGACGATAAAAACTGCAAACTCTCCATTTGGGTAAGGTTCTATATGCTATCTATGTCTGTGTGCGGCACACTGCCTGATACATGTATATATGTCTTGTGCTACATTCGTGAGGAATGACTGTTGACACCGACTCAGTTGTATATAAAGTATTCTATGTGTGTCGATGTGCACTTTTTCATATCTGACAGCAAAACAGTGGCCATGTGTGCACAGTTAAGTGGCAGCTGTTGCCATATTGCGTCCTAATTCCATTGACACGCATCTCTCAGATATGCACACATTCAGCTTTGTGTGCATGAGAGGTCACCCTGTATCGCGTGAATCTGTTATCGCAACCACTGGATAGCCTGGCCAGCCTTTGGAACGCCTGTAGTCTGTTGTATCGTATGTTAATGATGCTGTAGTAGTAGTATAGGCTATTGCAGGCGCTTGGCAGTATACGTCCTCTCTCAGTCAGCATCACCCGTGGTATTTGATGGTATTTTTGAATATAATTAAATACTGTATGTTCTTATTTTCACTTTTGCACATATACACACATGCTGAAATCCATACGAGGATATGTACATATGGATACACACACACACTCCTCTAGACTGATAAGTGTGATCACAAGTTTACATACATCCACTTTTACGTTCATATGCTGCTAGTCTTCATATATATATGTATATATATATATGAACCCTCATCACCCCCACACGAATTAATCAATACGCTATGCTCACAGGATACCGCAGGACAAGAGCGTTTTAGAACACTAACAGCCAGTTACTACCGTGGAGCTCACGGAGTCATATTCAGTAAGTCGTCCACGGAAACACGTATAGATATATAGATATTGATATATATATATATATATATATGTATGTCTCTTGGTGTGTCTTGCTATATTTGTATATCTCTATATATATCTATATATCTATATAATTTCGATACATTATATATATATGTGTGTGTATCTGTGTCTGTAATATAAATGTATATATATGTATGTATATATATATATGTGTGTGTGTGTGTGTGTGTTTATGCATATGTGCCTGTGTTTTGTGTATGTATACATGTATGCATTTAAATGTGTGTATATTTTGTCATATGCCCGAATGTACTGATTTTAACGCGGATATTATCAAATGTGCGCGTCTTGGAATACTTTTACCTATCAGTCGATTTGCCACACACGCACATGACCTGCTTCCATGTATATCTTGGTATATTTACTTCAACTACACCCCATTCATCATGTTATCAATCTTACGCGATGCAACACTTTCACTTGCCTGTTTGAGCTATACGAGGGTATATGATTCCAAGGGCATTGGTCTGTGCTAAAAGCAACACACGCTTCTATCTTATGTATAATTGGCACATTCGTACGAATTTTTAGCTGGTCTTTTCATGCCTACAAGCATACGTTCGGGTTTGTATGTGTTCTTAAGTGTATTTTAGTACTAGACTCGCATGTCCATGCACATAGCTAAACGCAGCTTGCTGTCCTATTGAACCCCCGCACTATCGAGTACAATGGGCTACCGGCCCCACACTCGCTTCGATGTATATACAACCCATGAACATTGGATCAAAACACTGTGTTAAACCGTGACCCCATATGTGCTTTGTTTATCCGATCGATTCGCTTCAGTGTACGACATAACTCGAGAAGACACGTTCACCAACATTGAGGGATGGCTTCAGGAACTAGTACAATACTCCAATGGCGAGAATGTAGCCAAGATGCTAGTGGGAAACAAGATTGATAGGGTATGTACGACCTTGTCTGTGTGAGCTCTGATATGGTTCATAACGTTATGTCTAGAGACGTACACAAACCTATTCATATGCATGTATTGTATATGTTTGAGTTTCTATTAGATAAGTATCTCACAAGACAACACCCCGCCCTTAAACCAAGTGTGCAATCGGCATGCGCGTGCTTCCCGATTGTCGCGACATGGGTAAACCTCCAATGCCTAAACCCTGGAATCGTTACATGAATGTATCTCCTTGCGTATGTGATAGGTACTCTGATGTGAACATAATTAGACGTAAATAGACTATAAGCACTACGAATCCGGAATTTAACATCACAGATATCCTCAATGTGTATATACACGTGTGTGTCCCTACAGAATACATACATGGTACCATTGATATCCTACCTGTATCACCATGACAGGTATCCTCAATATGTATATACACGTGTGTGACCCTATAGAATGCATGTATGCTACCATTGATATCTTACCTGTATTACCATCTCTTTCTCCCAATGTGTATATACACGTGTGTGACCCTATAGAATACATGCATGGTACCACTGATATCTTACCTGTATTACCATCACTTTCTCCCAATATGTATATAAACGTGTGTGACCTTTTAGAATGCATGTATGCTACGATTGATATCTTACATGTACTACCATCACTTTCTCCCAACGTGTATATACACGCGTGTGACCCTATAGAATGCATGCATACTGCCATTGATATCGTACCTGTATCGCCATTGCTTTCTCAGGAAGATGAGCGGGAAGTGTCTGCGGAAGACGCGGAAAAAATGGCAAAGAAACACAACATGATGTTTATAGAGACGAGTGCGAAGACGGATGTGGGCGTCAAACAGGCGTTCGAGGAACTCGTACAAAAGGTATTATATCCATCCAGCCAGTGACTGCAATGTTTGTTGTACCTTGTGATGTTCATGGAATGTTAATTGTAACATATGATGTTCATGGAATGTAACATGTGATGCTCATGGAATGTTAATTATATCACGTGATATTTATGGAGCGTTAATTGTAACATGTGTAGTTCATGGAATGTACATTGTACCATATGATGTTCATGGAATATTAATTGTAGTATGTGAGGTTCATGGAATGTTATTTGTAACATGTGATATTTATGGAGTGTTAATTGTAACATGTGTAGTTCATGGAATGTACATTGTACCATATGATGTTCATGGAATATTAATTGTAGTATGTGAGGTTCATGGAATGTTATTTGTAACATGTGATATTTATGGAGTGTTAATTGTAACATGTGTAGTTCATGGAATGTACATTGTACCATATGATGTTCATGGAATATTAATTGTAGTATGTGAGGTTCATGGAATGTTATTTGCAACATGTGATATTTATGGAATGTTAATTGTAACATGTGTTGTTCATAGAATGTACATTGTACCATACGATGTTCATGGAATGTTAGTTGTAGCATGTTATGTTCATGGAATGTTTATTGTATCATGTAATACTCATATAATGCTTATTGTAACATGTGATGAATATCTTAGAAAATCTTGTGCAGAGAATACATTACACATTTCCGCTTTTGATTTTTGAGTGCGTGTTCTATTACATCCAGCAATTGCCCTCAATGTACATCGCATTACATCTGGCTATTGGGTTTAATGTTTTTTTTTAGTATATCGATCATTTGCCCTCAATATAGAATTAATGTTTAACCTGTACTTGCCATTGAACGATGTAGTAATATATTGGATCCTTCCCGCAGGTAAATATATGTAAATAATCATTTGGTACAGAGTAGACGATGAATAGTTCTTCAGGTTTCGGACATACCCTTGTACTATAATATCGCCTTTGAAAATGTGCAACCCATATTTCTCCCAATCTGAAACTGAGTGATTGCAATTTATATGTATATCATCGAACTTCTTGGTATCATTAGATTGTTGTTCTACGGTTGATTGTAAAATTTTCCCGTGGCAATTATCGTATTGTAGGTTCTAGTGCTGTTTGCAGCTGTCACTGATCATGAATATACTTGTCATTCTATCTTTATGTGATTGTTGCATAATAAGCATACGGCAAAATCAGGCACGCCTACAATCTACATTCTGGTACAGTATTTCAGACTTCAAATAAGATATATCAGTGTATATGGCGATTCTGATTCTGTTCCAGATCCTATCATCATCACTTGTTGAGTGCATTCCGGTACTTTATTGGTAACTTCACTTCTGTCTATCACGCTGCAAATTGCTTACGTGTCTACATTCTGTTATCGTATTCTAGACTTGTGACTCGTGTACCAGTATATAGATGCTGAATATGTTCCTGGCTGAATGCGTTGTATTTTCTAACTTCTATGGTAAAACGTGTACTGTACCTTCTGATACATTTTTTTAATTTCGCTCATGATCGTCCCACTGCAGATTTTAGACATGCCTTCTACCACCGAGGGTACTGACGGTACTAAAGGTGTAACGTTAGGGGATCAACCTGACGAAGAAACCTCCAAATCTGGCGGATGCTGTTGAATGCAACATATAAGGCACATACTGATCTATCTATATATATATATATATATATATATATGTTCACGTATCTCATTATGATAGATACATACAAATAAATACATANATATATGTATATTATATGTATA